CGTCGCTGCTTCGAGGCTTCGTCGCTGCTTCGAGGCTTCGTCGCTGCTTCGAGGCTTCGTCGCTGCTTCGAGGCTTCGTCGCTGCTTCGAGGCTTCGCTGCTTCGGGGCTTCGCTGCTTCGAGGCTTCGCTGCTTCGAGGCTTCGCTGCTTCGACATTTCGAGGCCTCATCGTTTCGAGGCTTCGCCGCGTAGAAGCTTGGGCACTGACTTTGTCTGCATTTCGTTGCTGTTGTTTTTCGTTTCTATTCTTTGTTTTCGTTTTTTGTTTTCATTCTTTGTTTTTGTTTGTTTGTAGACATGCGGTAAGGTGGAAACGCGATTACTCACCTTTTTTCTTTAGCGCTATTTCAATAAAAATCCCTCTTACGCAAAGAAGCTTGAAAAAATACTCAGTGACTGCTACCGGTAGTGCTAGCGTGAAACTGCTTTAAAAATAAAAACGGCCTGCTGGAAAAAGATACTACTGCCCAGAACCATCTGTCGTTGAAAAAAGGCACAGCTGGCTGCAGGTTGAACCAGTCCTGCCTTGCTTAGGGAGATCGCGACACTTTGGTCGCTTTTTAACCTTTTGATCACTACAAAAATTTACATGCGAAGTAGAAGCTTTCGGCTAAGTGTGTAAAGTCAAGATCAGAGCCTTTGAGAAAGAGAAGGCGTCTATGAGAGGAAAAGCTTGCAACTAGTCTGGAGTCTTTTGCAGAGCGTCACTCATCAACCGCGTTGCGGCCGCGTGCGTCAGACCACCACTGGCGCCGGATTGCTGGGAAGGGGCCGGTGAGTGGTGCAAGGGTTGCATTGGCTTCCGCCAGGGCCCTCGCGACTTGGTTCGGTTTGTCGCGGCACTCTTCCATGTGCCCGAGGTCCCAGGAGCGGAAGAAGGGCTGCGTGATCGGACACTCGTGCACGAAGTGCGCCGTCGTCGCCTTCCCCTGTCCACATAGAGCACAGTCGAGGTCTTCCCCACTCGGCTGCGCCGCCAACAACCCAAAGCGCAGGGCGTAATACATGGTCTGGCCAACGCGGCCGCCGGCGTCGGTCACCAGATCACGCCCCCAGCCCCCTGTTTCCTGGAGCGTTTGCGCTGTTTTGCTCTTTGTCTTTTCGTCCCGTTGCCGTTCGGCCAGGTTCCGGCGGGCTTCGTTCCGCACGTAGCGGCGGGCCTCCGTTTTGAACTGCTTGTGCGTGATCGGCTCGCCCTCTTCCTGCAGGTCGCTGCGGTTGGCGTACCCCGCGAGGTGGTCGGCGACCACGTTCCCCGCGATGCCGGAGTGCCCTGGCACATATCGGACGACCAGCTTGGCGCAGCTTTGCAGCGCGTCCGCTGCAGCCGTGTAGACCTCGGCGTCCAGGTCGTCCCGCAGTCTCGGATTGAGCAGCGCCCGCACGTTGGACTGGCTGCCCGTGCAGATCGTCACCTGCTCGCTTTTCAGCGCGTGGCGTGTCACCGCTCGGAAGGCTGCGATGAGCGCCATGCGTTCGGTTTCGTACGAATCCGTGTGGAGCCCGATGGGCCACGCCGCCCCACATTGGATGCCGAACCCATGCAGAAAGACGCCACAAGACCCGGCAAAGTCTTTGGCCGACCCGTCACAATACAGCACCAGGCTGGACTCCCTAAGGGTGTCTACCAGCGCCGGCGTGCCTTCGTTTTTCCACGTCGCCTCGAAGCGGCCCTGTTCCTCTGCCTCATGGAGGACGGACCACCCCCGCCCTGCCTTCGCGCCGATCTCGGGGAGAACGGACGAGGCCGCGACGTTTGAGTCGTCGATCACTTGCAAGCCGGTTTCTAGCCAGTCCACGCTCGAGGTGTTCGCGACCTCCCGCAACGCGTCCCCAGTTCGCTCTTTGTTTTCGTTTTTCGTTTCTATTCTTTGTTTTCGTTTTTCGTTTTCATTCTTTGTTTTCGTTTTTCGTTTCCATTCTTTGTTTTTGTTTTTCGTTTCTATTCTTTGTTTCTATTGCGGGATACTATTATATTAAATAATGGGCTTTCTGACTTATATCTAGTCATGGTAGAGATTTGTATTGCTGTTTGTGGCGCAGCAGAGCTACAAGCCATGCCAAACTACAGGTACGCGCATGTATCCTTGCGCAGGCTTAGAAGCTACCTCCTGAACGCCAATTGCCTTTTTCCAATGCAACATGTCTTGTGAACATACATATCGCACCACACCGAGTGATTTTTTGAGCATGGGTAGGGCATTTTTTCCATTTTCATAAGATTGAGTTTATCCCTTTCCCTAGTCTCTGTTTGGTGTTTGCGCAGCAAGCAGAAATAAATGCATGCACTGGGGCCGCGCGAGTGAGTAGGTGTGGGCGCCCGCACTATCAATACTGTATCTGTGTGTAGCGCAATTACTCATCATGCCGCGACGAAATTGCTTCTCAGCTATAGGAGGATGGCTTGGCAGATGTGTGTGAAGCTCCGGGCGATGATTACCCTTGTCCAATAGAGGCAGAACCCGGTGCCTCGGCGTGCGATACTACTGCGAAAATAGACGAAGACGCGACGCGTTTTGGAATCGACGACGCAGCAGCGACAACTGGCTCAGCGGTTTGGAGCACAATCGCCACTGTAGTTGGAACAGTCGGACTCCTCGCAGCATCAGGCGTCATTAGCTCTTTTGTCCCCTCAAATAGTGATCCGATCAGGCATAGCTCTGCTGGTGAGCCAGGTAGCGGAGTCGTAGCGTTGCCTCCACAAAGCGTCTTTGGTGGGGGCGATGACGACAGGGGGCACACTAACTGGCTTACGAA